TAATAACTTCTGCAAAGTTGTAGGCTGTGAAATAAACCAACAAAAATTATCTGCATTTTTATATAATAATGACATAATTTGAGATAATAGAAATAGCAATAGTAGGAAGGGAAATCCTATTCCAAATAACTACAAAGAGCATAAAGTTTCTAGGAATTGATCTGCCAAAGCATACAAAAGATTCATATAGATTCAATTACAAAATATTCCTTAAAGAAATAAAGAATAGCTTAAATAGCTAGAGAAATATTCATTGCTCATGGTTGGGCCATGCCAATATACTAAAAGTGACATTACCAAAGTTAATTTAAACTTTTTAATGCTATACCAATCTAATTACAAAGGGGATATTTAAAGGACTTGATAAAATAATAACAAAATTCATTTGAGAAAAACAAAAGATCTAGAATATCATAGGGAAATAGCACTTCCAGACCTTGAATTATATTATAAAACAAGTCATTAAAACCATCTGGTATTAGCTTAAAAATAGAGGGTTAGATCAATGGAATAGATGAGACAAAAGAGAATCAAAAACAATAGAACTCTATAGTTCTGTGTTCAAAAAAGTGGAAGATATAAATTACCTAAGAAAGAACTCCCTATTTGATAAAAACTGCTGTGAAAATTGGACATCAATAAGGCAGAAATTAGGCTTAGACCAAAACCTTACACCATATTTCACAATACATTCTAAATGGCAACCTTAATACTAAAGATCATACATCAAAAAAATTAGAAGAGAAGCAAATAGTATAACTTTTACAAATATGGGTAGGTAATGTATTCTTAACAAAATAATTAATTATATTTTTTGTAAAATATAATAGATAATTTTGATTACATGAAACTGAAAAGTTTTTGCATAGACAAAATTAACACACTTAGGATAGAAAGGTAAATGGTCAAAAGGGAAAAAACATCAAATTTCTCTGATACAAGTTTGGTCTCCAAGGATATATGAAGAATTAACAAATATATATGAGTAGTTGCCATTCTCCAATACATAAATGGTCAAAGGATATGAACCAACCATTTTCAAAAGAAGAATTACAAAATATTCCCAAGCACATAAAAGAGTGCTTCAAATCACTAATTATAATACACATGCAAATCAAAAGAACCCTGAAGTTTCATCTCACACACTGCAAACTGGCAAAGATGATCCCAGAATGGAAATACTCAATGTTGAAGGGGTTACAGGAAGATAGGCACACTTGGACCTTATTGGTGGAGCTATGAATCAAAACCACCACTTTGGAAAACAATTTAGAATTATGAAAATAAATTAACTACAATGTCAATACCCCTAGATTATATTATTGGGTATATTCCCCAAGGAAGCCATTGATTAAAAAAAAAAAAAAAAAGTCCTCACATACACCAAAATATTTATTAACAACACTTTGGTGATATCAAGGAATTGGAAACAAAGTAGATGCCCATCAATTGGGGAATGGCCAAATAAATTGTGATATGAGAGCAATGATTATTAAATAACTAATTATTAATATTGGGGAGACACAGGATTTATCCCTTTCTGAAACCTTATTCTCTTCTAGGCCAAGCCGGTATCTGAAGGACATTGCTGATAATGAGATTGGATTAACTTTCACCTCAATCTTGTTCTAACCCCACCTAGGTGGGGAAGCTAGTGTTCTACTCAGGTTTGAGTGGGGATAAATTCTTTGATTAGATTGGCCAAGGCTGGGGTGGTTTGGAAGTAAATAATATAATCAAGGTCACATTTCACCCAGTCCTTCATTAGACTAAGTACATCTCTCATTATAATATTCATTCTCTCTCATTACTTGTTAACCAATCAGAGTTGATTGCCACCATCAAGAATACCCATTGGTCCAATGGCATATAAGCATTGAGTGGGCTCCATGAAGGATCTCTGACATTTGAGAGTGTCACTGACCTCTTTTATTAATTATATGCTAGCATGATTAATAAAATGATTAATTACCCAGAAACTATATCTTTTGAACTTTTTCTATGTCACAGGTGTATGAAATGTTGAAAGAAATATTGAAAGAAATTATGAATTACTATGTTTAAAGAAAAGAATACAGAGCATGATGGAAAGAGCTACATGAACTGATAGTAAAGTAAGCAGAGCAATTACACACAATGACTATACGATGAAACTGAAAATGAAAAGAACCATCACACCCAAAAAATTTAAAAGTGAATGTAATAAAATTATGAAGATCAAACATGGCTAGAAAGGAGATATAGAATATATTCCCACCCACCTGATCCCCTTGTAGATGTTGTAGAGCGCTATACCCAGTTGCAGAATGATGGCAATACATGTAGGAATACATGTAGATATTGCATATTGCACTTGTTTTCAGGCTTTTTTGTTTTTGCCTTGAAAAAAATACTACTTTTTAATATGAGATGGCACTCTGAGAAGAAGCACACTGGGAAAACTATGATGATGTTAAAAAAAAAAAAGAGCAGTAAAAACTTTTTTTTTTTAAAGCCATTTGACCATGCCAATTTGGGGTTCACTAAAAATTTATGTTATCTGATCTCAACTTGACTTTCACTACTGCATGACAATCCCTTTTTCCTTCTGACTGACTTTCTTACTCTCAAAATCATGCTTTTAGGGGCAGCTAGGTGGCGCAGTAGATAGAGCACCGGCCCTGAAGTCAGGATGGACCTGAGTTCAAATCTGGCCTTAGACCAAACACTTGATATGTACTAGCTGTGTGACCCTGGGCAAGTCACTTAACCCTAATTGCCTCACTAAAAAAAAAAAAAATCATGCTTTTATCACTGGAAACAAGGACTCCACTCTTAGCTCCCCTAAGGCCTGATAGTCAAATCTCTTGCCTTACTTACCCAAAAACCAGGCTTCCATGCCTCTCTGCAAAGTCACCCTGCCATGTATTTGTGTAAGTACCCTTTTCTTCTTCCTTTTTCCCTTTCCATCACCCCTTTATGTATATCTTCCCTCATTAAAATGTAAGCATCTTGAGAAGAGGGACAGTTATTTATTTTTATATTTCGTATACTTAGCACAATACCTGGCACATGTTAAGCACTTAATAAATGTTCTATCTCTCCTAAACGTTCTTCTTCTTCTTCCTCTTCTTCTTCTTCCTCTTCTTCTTCTTCTTCTTCTTCTTCTTTTTCTTCTCTCTCTCTCTCTCTCTGTTTTTCTCTCAATATATCCTTATCAATTAGCTCCTTCTTTACTTCTACTGACAAACATTCCCAGGTCTCCATGATCCCTAAAAAAATTCTTCATTTAACTCTCTCATTTCTTAAAGCTATTGTCCTATGTCTTTTAGCCTTTTCAAGGCCAAACTTCTGAAATGAGTTACCCACACTCAAGGTCTCCATTTCCTCATTTCCCACTCAGTCTTTTATAATTTGTCTGTCTTTTATAATTCAACGTCAAACCCAAGCACAAGACTGAAACCACTCTCTCCAAAGTTATCAATCTCTTAACTGCTAAATCTAAAGGTCTGCACTAATAATGAACCTGGAGAACAAATCATGAAAAATATCTCCCTTTTCTTGACGTGATGTTGAGAATGTTACATGCATTGTCATATTAGTTCCCTTTTGTTTTTTCCTTAAGTATTTTCTCTTTGTTTTAAGAGAGAGTTCATTTTCTGTTATGGTGAGGGTGAGAGGATGGTAACGTTCTGAAATTATGTAAAAACAAAGGCATCAATAGTACTTTTATGAAAAAAAAAGCCAAAAATCTTTTCTTAGCCCTCAACCATCTTGATCTACCTGAGCTTTTGAAACTACCATTTCCTAGATCCCATTTTCCAGTGGCTGACATAGCATTGCATATGCTTACTTTTCTCCTATCTATCTATCTACTCCACATGCTCCTTTGCTAGATCGTTATCTTTCTCTTACCTACTAAATATGAGCTTGTCTTTCATTCTCCCAAGGCTCTATCCTGGACCCTCTTCTCCCTTTTTTTTTTCTCTTTTCTTAATAATCTTCTCTACTCCCAAAAGGTTCAATTATCAGCAGTCCAGATGATTCCCAAATCTTTCTATCCATGCCTAATCTCTACCCTGAATTCTAGTACTATATTTTCAACTGCCTGTTGGATAACTTTAACTGGAGATTCCAGAAACATTTCAAGCTCTACATGTCTGGAATAGATCTCATATTTCCCCCCAAAACCATTCCTCTGCCAGACTTCCTTATTTCTGCTGATGGTTTCACCATTCTTCTTGTCATTTGGATTCATATGACTTTAAAGCCATCCTTTACTCTTTCTTCTCTCCCAACTGGCTTATCTATGATCAAATCTTGTTGACCCTACTTTCACAACATCTATCATCTTTGTCCCTTTATCTCCATTCATAGAACCTCTACCTCAGTTCAGGCCTCCATCATCTTTTGCCTAGACTATTGAGCTTTATGATTGGCCTCCCTGTCTCTAATTTCCCCACCCCATTCCATCTTCTGCACAGATGCAAAAATAAAATTCCTAAAACACAGAAGAATGAAATGAACGAGTGACTGAATCAAAAAGCATTGATTAAGCACCTAATATGGTCCACCTACTGTGCTGGGTACTCGAGATATAAATATAAAAATGAGCTAGTCCTTGTTCTCAAGGAGCTTACATTCTAGTAGAGGCAGACATTACATGTAGGAAGTGTTGGACAGGAAAGGCAGTTTAGGTTTGGGGAACCACACTAATGGTGAATGGAGTCCACTGCCACACCTTTCCAGAAACAAGGGTAATATTAATTTGATTACTTTTCCTTTTTTAAATATTTTACTTTTTCCCAATTACATGTAAAGATAATTTTTAACATTCATTTTTTTTAAATTTTGAGTTCCAAATTCTCTTCCTCCCTCCTTCTCTCCCTACCCTTCTCCCTTCTTGAGACAGTAAGCAATTTGATGTAGATTACATATGTGCAATCATGCAAAACATATTTCCATATTAGTCACGTTGTGAAAAAAGACATGGTCCCCAAAAAAACCACCAAAAACATGAAAAAAATATGGAATGCTTCATGAATTTGCTTGTCATTCTTGCATAGGGGTCATGCTAATCTTCTCTATATCATTCCAGTTTTAATATATGTGCTGCCAAAGCAAGCACAATTTGATTATTTTTCCCAGAGGAAGAGATAGAAAGGTCTGCCTGACTGACAGACCACTATGGGCAATTCAGAAACAGGGGAGCTTGCCTTTGTTGAATCAATACACAATATTCTTGATACATATGCTTGTTAAACATCTTTGCTCTATGACTAAGTAAGTCACTTTTTGTTAACTGTTGAATGACCTATCAGTGTCTCATTTTATTCCAACATTGGGCTTAAACTGTTATAGCTTGAGGCAGGCCCAGCACAGAGCAATGGGATAGGGAGCACTATACCCAATGGCAGAATAGATGGCATGACATCCAGGGTGGATGGATGTGAAGCCTCATTTGAGGCCAGTTAGATATAGTATAGTAGATGATTTTTTGCTTGCTCACTCACTCATCAGCACAACTCATGCCCAGGGCAGAGTTCCAAAGCTATACTAATTCCTCTTCCCCACCCTCAGCTGTTAGTTCTGCTGCTTTCTTGTCTCTATGTAAGGACTGATAGAAAACTCTGGGACTGACCTCCTTTTGATGAGTTATAACAAAGAAGTGGCTTTGATCCACAATAATAAAACAATTAGTCCCCAACTGATGAGATACAATTAAAATGATGACAGATAATCAAAGTTCCAAATAAAGGCTCACTACCCCACAAGCTCATCAAATTGATGAGGTACCTGATGAATGAATGAATAAATGAATGAATGAATGAAAAGTATTTATTATGTACCACCCACAGTGATAAGACCTGGGGATACCAATATAAGTCTGTTTTTGTTATTGCCTTGCTTGAAGTCATGACTGCTACCCCTGCTTTTTTTTTTTTTTTCCAGTTCAGCTGAAACATAATAGATTTTGCTAGGGCAAATTTTTTTTTTATATTTTAACTATTTTAACTCTATGAAGTCTTTGTGTTTCTTATTAACAATAAATTATTCGATTTTGCTTTCTAATCCATTCTACTATCCTCTTCCATTTATGGGTGAATTCATCCCATTTCACACTCACAGTCATGATCATTAACTGTGTATTTTCCTCCATCCTATTGTCTTACACTTTTTCCTCTCTTTGCTCCCTGCCTCCTCTTCACAAGGAGATAGTCATGGGACAGTGTGCTTAGCACCAATGCTCTATGCCTAATGTAATCAGCTTCTGCTTTCTCTGTTCTCTTCCCAGGAAAGCAAATATAAAAGCAGGACAGGCCCTGCCAAACCCTATAGATGAAATCACAGATCCTTCAAGTACTGAAGTAGACAATATTGACAGAGATACTAAAGTTAGCCAATAATATCAAGAGGCAGCCAGGCAGCACAATGATAAAGTGTTGAACTTGGAGTCAGGAAGACCTGAATTCAAATCTGGCCTCAGGTACTTAAATGGATACTTTTTTTTTTTTTTTTTTTTTTTTTACAAATTGAAGGTTTGTGGCAACCCTGCATCAAGCCAAGTCTATCAGCTCATGCTCACATCATATCTCTGTGTTACATTTTGGTAATTCATGAAATATGCTAAACTTTTTTTATTATTATTATATCTGTTATGGTGCTCTGTGATCAGTGATCTTTGATGTTACTATTGTAATTGTTTTGGGGTGCCAAGAACCACACTTATATAAGATGGTGAACTTAACTGGTAAATGTTGTATGTTCTGATTGCTCCACCAACCTGCAGTTCCTCGGCTCTCTCCCTGTCCTCAAGTCTCCCTCACTTAAATCCAATTCACTTGCAAATCATGGCACCTGACATCATGGTCCTCTTTGAGAACAACGGACAAGCAACAACAACCCTCCCCTTGAGTCTCCCTATTCCTAACACACAATATTGAAATTAAAACCAATTAATAACCCTACAATAGCCTCTAAGTGTTCAAGTGAAAAAAAGAGTCGCACATCTCTCACTTTAAATCAAAAGCTAGAAATGATTAAGCTTAGTGAGGAAGGCATGTTGAAAAGCTAGTCACCCTAATCAGTTGGCAACCATCAACATCGAGGCAAGACCCTCCACCAGCTAAAAGATTATGACTCACTGAAGGCTCAGATGATGGTTAGAACTTTTTAGTAATAAAGTATTTTTTAAATTAAGGTATGTCCATTGTTTTTTTAGTCATAATACTATTGCACACTTAATAGACTATAGTATAATGTAAATATAACTTCTATATGTACTGGGAAACCAAAAAATTCATTTGATTCACTTTATTATGAAATTCGCTTCACCACGGTGGTCTGGAGCTGAACTTGTAACATCTCTGAGTTATGCCTGTACTACCTTGGACAAGACACTTAACTTCTCTCAACCTTAGTTTTCTAATCTGTAAAATGGAGATAATAATAGTATCTACTTCACAAAGTTGGAGTGAGGATCAAATGTGATGAATGCACTTTGCAAACTCTAAAGTACTATACAAATACTAGCTACTATGATTATTTACAATTCTTTTTGTTGTTATAGAATAAGAATCAGAGCATCATAGTCTTAGACCTCAGAAGCCACTCAGTCCTACTTATAACAGAAAATCTTGCCTATAGTGTCTCTAAAAAACAGTCTTGTTGATGTAGAATGTAAGGGAGAAAAATATATATACATACACACATACATATATACATATAGATCTATAGATATCCCTTGAGAAGGATAAGGTGGTAAAATACCTTGAAATTCATGGACAAAAAAATTGTGTTTGATTATTGATAGACACTGGAGAGACATAGAATGTAATCAAATGAATAAAATGATTGGACAGCTTCTACTTCACTTTGAAATTTTTTGGTCACTAAGTACTTTAAAATTTTAAGTCTCAAAGTTTGGATCCTAATAGCACTATAATCTTTGATTATTGGAGCTATTCAAATCCTATGAATTACTATATGGCATATAATGCCATGTGAAAGCAAACAACATGATTTTGGGGGGATTAGAATTAAGTCTGAGACTATTTTACTTTTGGGCAACACCCTAGTGCCAATTCTTATAATTTACCTAGTATTTCCCTACTATATTGCCTATGGTGTTGCCACATTAGCACTAGACCAAGAAAAGAGTCCTGGTATTGAAAATATGTTTGTTTGAAGAATTAGTTTATATAAATAAAAAATGAAGTGACTCTACAACACACATATTGTTAGTGCCTGCTATAAATTACATTATACTTCTTTTTACATGTTTTGTACTTACTTATCTGTATGCAAATCCTCCCTCCCCCAAACCCCATTAGAATGGAAGCTCCTTGAGGATTTTCATTTTTGTCTTTAGACAGTTTCTGGCATACAGTAGTTGTTCAATAATTGATCTTAACATTGAATTGTATTGAACAGAATTATGACCAGAGCCTAGTTTTTAGAGCAAATACAGCTATTACATTCACATTAATTGCACAGAAGACATAGTTGGTCACTCAGATCCAAATTTAAATAGGTTTCTCAAAAGGAAATAATCTGAAGGTAATACTTTGTACATTGACAGATAAGGAAACTGAGTTTTGGAGAAACAATTAGTTGCATAAAGTTGGAAGCAATTTTCAATTATTCAGGGAATGAGTATCATTTGTGAACTGTCCTTTTGATGATTTTATTCTTTTGAATGTTTTGTTATTTTATTGGATAAAAATGTAATCATTTTGCTCCTAGTTACTCTGATAAAAGGTTTGGTTGCAGATTTTTAAAATTGTGACCTATCCATTATTTTTAATGCCTTTCATTTGTCCAAGTTATTTTCTTGATTCACAACAATAATTAATTTGCTCTTTTTTTAAAAAAAAGTATTTGTTAAGTTCAGAATTTTTAAAAATATAGAAAATGCTTAGTAAATGTTTGTTGAATTGATTTGAATTCTCCACCTATGGCCATGATCTTTTTTTTCGACTGTTTCTTAGGCTTTGGGGCTTTTACACATGGTACATTTCCAGCTATCTTTTGGCTATAAGCATTCAAAATCTAAAAATGAGTTATGAATACATTTTCTATTAGTGTATTTTAAGTATGTGCCCCACTATTATCATTGACACTGTGTATAGTTTGGAGAACGTATACTCCAAGTGTTTATGTAGGAAAGTTTTGTTACTATTGGTCTTACGATGCCATCTCAGTAAATGCCTTTGCTTTGAAAAAAGATTAATTGGGAAGAGAAGTTTTCTGTTAAAATTTATGTGTCCTCTAAGAATAGATGAATATGAAGAAATCAGAGAAGCATGGAAAGATATATGAACTGATAAGCCAAAAAAACAATATACATGACAAAGTAAACGGTAAGAATAACAAAAGCCCCTTGGATTTTATATATTTGTAATGACCAAGCTCGGCCCCAGAGAAGAGTTGTGAAAATTAATCTCCCTCCTTTCTTTGTAAAGGTAGGGTACTATGTGTATGGAATATTGCATATGTCAGAAGAGATGAATGAACTGGCTGGTTTTGAAGAAATGCTTATATTTCTCTTTCTTTTGTATTCTTTAGTATAAAGAACGACTCTCTGGGGATGGGAGATAGACAAGATATGTTCAGATATAAAGCTGTTGTAAAAACAAAAGATTTTTAAAGTTACTCATCCTATGGTACGCTTGAGGTAGTGTCAGTGGTAATAGTGGGGCACATACTTAAAGTATATTAGTAGAAACACTTACTCATAACTCAATTTTCAATTTTGTATGCTTATAAACAGAAGATAATGGAAATGAACCAATTATAAACATCCCAAAGCTTAAGAAATAGTCTAAGATAAAGATCATAACCATACTCATCATTCAGTTCATCACTGTACATCATACTAGCAAGACAAGTGGTTCAGACAAATGACTGCCATTTGAGTCTTAGGGAGGGTACTGTCTCCCCCTCCTTCATGTTGGAATGTATACATATGCACTGAAGACATTGTTAATGAATCTTGAGAAGATAATAATATTCTCTGCAGCCATCCCAATAATCATACTCTGGAGGCCACAGATACCTATCTCAAATTCACTTGTCCATTTATGGATCATATACTATATGCAGGGCTCTGTGCTAGGTGCTGACGGACATTTTGTTTTCTTTTTTTGAAATAACTGACTTTTGGGGAAGAACCTAAACTTCCAGCAAATTTAGCTGTTTTCTTCCCAGCAGCTAACAAATTTCGGATTTATGAGAGAAAGTGCAAAAGAGCCAATTGAATGTATTATTTTTTTTACTGTAGGCAAGGAACCTACAGACCTGGGAGGTCCTAGCACATGGCTTTGCACACAGTGAGTGCTAAGTGTTTGCTGAATTATGGAGCTTTGGAAATAGAATAGCTTAAGCATCCAAAAAATGTCTTTCGTCCATCAAGTAACTTTATTTCTTATGGGAGGAAGTCGGGGTGGTGGGGAAGAGAAGGAGGAAAGGGGTGGGGGAGGAAGAGCTGTGTCGAGGTTAGTAGCCGCACGTATAAACTCGCACATGTATCCATAATTTAATTATTTTTAAATGAGCCAGTGAGAAGTCCAGGGTCCACGACAGCAAAGATGGTGACTAGTAACAGAAGACTAAGAGGAGGGAAGCTCAGGCCAAAGTGAAAGGGAAGCGCAGCCGCACAGGGGAAGAGGAAAGCAGTGGTCTCTTCCAGCCCCCCATTCCCCCCTCTGGCGTAGAACACGTGGTTTGATCCAGGCGGGTACACTGGTGGCAACAGTGAAGGAGGAGGGAAGCGTAGGTGGACGCAAAGGAGTCTCGGTGGCTGATACTTCGGTTAGGAGGAACGGATGAATGCTTAACTGCGCAGGCGCGGAGTGGGCGCTACCATTTCCTCCTCTCTGAAAGAGAGGGGAATCCAAGCAGCAGCTCTGACTATTTAGTTGTTAGATAAACTATATTGCCATTTCGCCTCTTTAGTTCCCTTTATTTAGTTTTATTTTCTTTACCTATAAAGAAACAGCCTATATAGGGGCTTTTCCCGCCAAATCTCGAAAGCTCTTCTGCGCTACTTCCCCCATAGCCGGCACACTGGGCGCGTCCCCGCCTCCCCACACTCCGGGGAGGTGGTGGAGAGTCTCCCACCCCTCTAGTGTCGCTGTTAGCGCTGCTTCCTCCCCGACTCCACTTGTCGGCCCCCTTTGACGGGCGGTGCCGATTCCCCCTCCCATCACCCCTCCCTCCTTTCCCTCCCTCCCTCTTTCCTTCCCTCCCTGCCCGCCTGTAGCGCCCCCGTGGCCGCCGCCACCACCACCACCACCAGCACGGTCCCAGCCCAGGCCATCCTTAGTCCCCTGCGCGCTTCCAGCTTGCCGCGGAGGCGGCAGCGGCAGCTGCAGCTGCAGAAGCCCAGGAGCCCGGAGTCAGCAGCGACAGCCGCGGCGGCGGCAACGGGGAGCCCATGGCGTACAGTCAGGGAGGCGGCAAGAAGAAAGTCTGCTACTATTATGATGGTAAGAGGCCGACCCTTAATGGTAGGGGAGACGCATGCTAGTGGGGGGCTTCAGACTCTCCTTTCACCATGCCCCCATCTTGCACTCAACCTTGGCCTTCCCTCTTTCCACTCCCCCGGCGGGGGGGGCGGGGAGGAGGAGGAGGAGGAGGAGAAGAACCTGAAATCGGGATGGGTCATCCCCTCCTCCTGTGAGTGAGGGGTGGTCGCCGGGCCCCCCCCATCCCCGTCCCTGCCCCCGCCCTGTCGGGTTTGCAGGCGGGAAAATGGGCATCTCTCCTTTTCCCCACCTACCCAACCATCCCCATCCTCCTTCCCAAAAGTCACCACCCCCTGGGGAGCCCGCCCAGACTTCTTTGGAGGTTGGGGTAATGGCGAATAAGGCACGCCCTCCACTCCCACTTGCATGCATGGGGGGGGGGGCGAGAAGTGCCTCCTATTTCCACCGCCACCCCCGAAATAATGGTTTATAAGTCTGTATGGGAGATGTTCTCGATTTACACAAAGCGGTGCATCTCCTTAGAGCCCGAGCCCCGCCTTCTCTCCTTTTCCCCCCATCAGCCCCTTCCTCTTTTCCCTCCTCCTCCCTTTCTCCCTCCTTCTGGCTCCCTCTCACCCACCTTTAATGCATCCGCTGCAGAAGGTGCAAGAGAGTTTTCCCCAAATCGTAAAGCCAGGGTAGGATTACATTAAATATTCGTGTTAAGGAATGATCTTTTTTCCTTAGCCTTTGTCCATCCAGTTCATGCAGCCCCGCGTTCTTAGGTCCAGTGGGATAAAGAAGGGCCCCTTCTATCTGGGCTTCAATGTCATCTTTTTTTGGCGATTAAAACCTTGGGTTTTTAAAGCCAAGGATTTTTACCGACGTTGAGACTTTCGGTGCAGTGATCAATTAGAATTAAGAGGAACGAGAGGTGGCTGGGGGGGGGGGGGGGGCGTGGGGGTGTCTCTGTTGCTACTTGTGTTTGGAAATCAGACAGACCTGACGGGCCTGGCCTTGGAGAAGCCTCTGTCGATCTCAGTGGTGCCAAGTTAGACGTGGTTGCCGCCCACTTCTTTGTTGCTCTTTGTTCATCAAGGGGTGTGTGTGTTGGGGCGGGGGGGATTGATGCGATGTGCCAGAGCCCCTGGTTTAGGAGCTTTTCATACCGCTTTGGAACGTTTGGTATAGGTAGAGTTAGAATCCTGGTGAAGGAAGCGCTCAGCAGCAATTCAGAAGTGATGTATGATTGCAGGTAGTTGAGTACTTCAAGGATGTGGGTATTCGCTCCACTGGTACATATTGCAACCCTTGTGCATCTTGTTAGAGGCTCTTCAGAAATTGATGTGGCTGAAAAAAAATCACCCTGTGGTCACTATGATGAAGAGCCTCCAAGAACACCTTGTGGGCTTGATAGCACTTGTGCTGCAGTAGTGAACCCTGAAGTTATCTGCACAGCATAATGAGGCATCAGAGTAGGGCCTGAGTGGTGAGGGTACAAATATTTTCAAAGTTAGTCGAACAGGTTATGCTAGAGGAAAATATCCAAAATTCTAGCAAAGAAATTAGACATCTTGGCCTGATGTGCCTTTGAAAATTTGTATGAAATAACTCAAAAGCTACCTTTGTAAGCCAACTTTTTCTTAAATTTGATATGGTATCTTCTGGAAGGGACCTTATGTCATGTATCCCATCATAGAATTATAGTCATACCAAAAACTAGGCGATTTGCCTTTGGACCTCTCTTTTTAAAAAGCAATATCACATCTTTCTAGTGAAAATGACATAACTTTTCTTATTTCTGTTTTATGAACCAAAAAAAATGACCTTTTATCAAATGATGTAAAATTTTACGGGGATTTTATTTTATGGCTATGAGAATAAAACAATAGTTTTGTCTTTGTTAGAAATATAGTTTCTAGGAGTATTAATTATTTACTCTAAATTGTTTAAAAGTTGTATGTGGGGCTTAAGGTGTCTTAGTAAGACTTATAATAAACTTTTTGTACATGCTTTGGGGTGCCCTAAAATCTTTTGGTTTCTTTAACCAAAATAAGATTTTGATTATTAATATTAACAAGTGATTCTTTTTATTTAAATATAGTTTTAGAGCACTCTTTTTTAAATTGATGTTGCAAGGGAAGGTCTGAAGAGATCAGGGAAACCTGATCCACAGAACGCTTCAAACAGCTGTTAGTTGGTCTTGGCAGTGAATTGTGGGCTCTGAATGGAGTGAGCCAGCCTGTACTTTTTCTTCTGGTCTTAGTAACATCTGTGGTATCCAAGCAAGAAACTTAGTCTCTTCTTTTCCCTGTAGAATACTCTCTTTATAACTAGGCATATTTGTGTACCTAATGTATCCCTCTTAGTAGATTGAAAGGGCCTTGAGAGCTGGGACTGTCATTTTTGAAAATTTTTCTATCATCAGCGTGCATGTAGTAAGTGTTTTAAATAAGTGTTAGAACTGAGTTGACCCTACGAGAGTTCTGAAGATTTGGGGTTATGGTGGCTACAACACGGTGAATATATCCAGGTTTTTTGTTTGTGTCAGGGCAAGTAGTCCTAAGTGAAATGATAGAATAGAAACAATGAGAGTAGCAATGGAAGTTGACTTTGTCAGCATTTCTTTATTGTGGACCACTTTAACTAGTTATCTTACTTTGTTAAGAGTTTTTAGGGATGCACTCTGAAAATCATTAGACTAGATGCTTTATGTGTCACTGGTCTCTCCTCTCTTCCCCCAATCAACACCAGTCTTATCAAACTCCTCCAGGCACTTTAGTCAACCAAAACCAATTACTCCCTGTCCCAGAAGAAAGGCCTCTGCTTTTTTGCTTTTTTAGTTAACAGAACCACCAAGAGCATCATCTTCTTTTAACACCTGTTTTACTATGAATTCTGTTTTAAAAGAGTGGCACTCAGATGCCTTTCCATAGAAGAGCTTTTCCCGTACCTTTCTGTCCTCAGCTAGCATTTGTGTTTTGTACTTCTGAAATGGATTTATTGTGTATTACACAGGTAACTGTTTTATCTAAACTTTGCCTCATTGTCTAGCATGAAAAGCGTAGCTATGAATGCAGTGGATGCTCAATAAATATTTGAGGTGAATTGATTTACTTCTCATCTGGGGCCCTTTTTAATCTATGTTCTTAACTTACCTACCTTTAACTACCTTAATTTATAAGTAAATTGTATATTACTTCCCTTGCTCTGCATTCTAGTTAAACTGGTCTACTTATTGTCCCTCAAGACATTCCATCTCCCTGCTTTTGCAAAGACTGATCCAAATTATACTCCTTCCTTCCTTCAGACTTACAGAATCTCAAAATTCTTTTAAAGCCAAGCCCAAAAGCCAGCTCCTACATGAAACCTTTGCTGACCCCGCCTCCCCCCATTACCTTATATATATTTTGTATTTATTTGGGTGTCCCTGTTTCCTCTGTACAGTATAAGATCCTACACAGCAGGGACTGATTTTATCAATGTGACAGTGTTGCCATATAGTAGGCACTTAGTAAATGCTTAATTATTGATTGATTTTCTTTAGAATACTGTATTTAGGTAAGTATTTACTGCCATACATTTTTAGTTTTATCTTTGAAAAGGAATTGAGTCTCTCTTGTATTTTTGAACCTTTTTTGGCTAACAATTTGGCAACTATATCTTTGATTTTAATAACTTTATTATGTTTATAATCATTAGCATTACTTAATAGTGTTAATCCCTCTCCCGTATATGGTGCTGAGATCTGTGTAATAAATATAAATGTTTTCCATGTCTTCAAGAACCTTACAGTTAGGATAATATATTGTAAGGGAAGGATTTTCGCCAAATTTCAAAGACCACAGGTAATTGAAATATGTGACTCTCAGAAAGAACCTAAAATTTGACAAGTTTTGCTCAAGTCAATAAGTATTTATTACGTGCCTCTTCTGGGCCAGGCCACTACCTTCTTAGAAAATATTTTCATGTCTTTTCTTCACTTTTTTGGTGGCCTTTTATTTTCATCTTCTTCATTTTAAAATTCAGAAGGTCAAAGTAGTACGGGAGAGGAGAAAGAAAAATAAAAACTGGAGATACAGAGAGCATAAAAATGCCCATCTTAGCCATAAATTTCATTAACTCAGCAAATATTTGAGCACCTACTATGTGCAAGACTAACATTAGTAAGAGCTACTTTCAGTAACAATGTGAGTAGGAAGTCATCAGGAAGGAATAATAGAAGGAACTTAGGTAATCCACCAACCAATTAAGTAACATTTCCCAAATTAATTTGGCCATAAAACACTTCTGAGCTTTAGATCTTCTGATGGAACCATGAATGCCATTTCAGAGAATTTTTGAGCATGGAATACCTCTTGGATAAAGGAAAATTCCTTGAATTTGATGACAAAATAAAAGCCATAGAACATTGCAAAATGAATATTTTTATGTGTGCATAATTTTAGAAGAAGAATAATGTTCCCAAGCCAAAATATTTGGGATTAAATCCTGACTCTTCTACTTACTAGCTGTGTGACCATTAGCTCTCTGTTATTCAGTTTCTTCTTCTGTTAAATGGGATTGATCTCTGAGTTCCCTTCCAGCTTTAAGTCTATGAAATTTAATATTTTAGAGTGGATAATATAGCTATTATCATTTTTCTACCTAGAACCTTTATTGATATCATATGGAATGAGTCTTCAGAATAGTTAGGAATACACTTACCTAAAGAGAATAAGCAGTTTAATAGGAGTTTGAGATTAAGAAAAACAAAGGAGTTTTGGAAAAAATAGAAGCTCTTGATAGCTTATTAATATGTGTGTAAATATACACATATACATATATGGGGGACAGAGGTGTTCCAAAAGATGTAGTGCTTAAAGCTTAAAACTGCACTAAGACTTTTGGGACACCCTGTATAATAGCTATATATTAGAGATGAGAAAACTTGCTGTATTTAAAATTATATTTACCGCGAGAGATTAAACTTTTTCAATTGGTACAAAGTTATTACTCATTTTTATCATCTTCCTCTGTCA